CGTGAAGTCTTCCCACTCACTAGGTTTTCATTGTCAGATATTTGCCAAGGGTTCAGCCACAGTTTGTTAGCTTGTGTTTATAGCACTGGAAACTCCCAGGTGGTCTCTCTATCCAATTACCCACCAGGGTGGTATTAGCTTCTGTGATGAGCTGGAGGCATCACACTTTAGTCTGGCAGAGCCAAAGGCAAAATGTGCTAATATGAAGCATTCTATTTCAACAGTTTGTTAAGCAATATGTGTTTCCCAAACACACTTCCTTTTTTGGGATGCCAAATAATTTTTAGACTAGGAAATGTATTAAACCTTGGGTTTAGTTTGGTGAAAATTCTCAAAGTTTTATCTCCATCAGACACTGCATTTGTGGTCTTCATAGGAACATTCTACTTATAATTAAAAAAAAAAAAAGTCCATGAATCAACAGAACAATAAAAATTGGTCACAATTTCCTTCACATTGCTACTTTCATGGTTTAGTAGCATTCAGTATCTTCTTTTTCATGCTGTACAACTTACAGGAGAATCTTCTAAGTTTCTTTCAAAATGTAGCATGATGAGAGAGACAAGCGGTAGAAAATTCAACCAGGTGAGTTTGTGGAGCCAAAAATATGTGAGAGAAGGATTAAGAAAATATTCACAAAATAAATCTCTCTTCATGTGCATATGAGCCATGAGACAAGAGATGTTGTCACCATCCCTGCTAATATTTACCATCTGCACAATGGCAGGATCCAAATTAGAAAACTTGGAAGCTCTGACCTAGACAAAACATCAGACAATATGTTTAAGCCACAGTGTGGTCATAATAACTGACATAAAGGTTGATCAGAGAGCAGGACCTGGAGTCTAAAAAACATTACCATTACATGAGAACTACTCGTCAGACCAGAACTTTGTACTTCTCAGGCAACCTTAGCAAATTGAATAATAAACCCTAATCCAGGGCTATTTTATATTGAACAAATTCAAAGAAATAGTGTTCTTTCACAAAGGATTGTAACAAACTGCTTGCATTTTGTAGATTTTTCCCAGTCTTCTAAGAAATGAGCAGTATTGTAATTCTTAATTTTAATTAATTTTGCCAGTAGAATTTCAGGAACCTGTAGGGGTCTAGAGTAATGAGACTCCACTGTGAAATCATATTGATGCCCTTACAGCTGCCAGCAGTTGAATATGTTAGGATGGACTTTTCCAAATTTGCTGTTGGCTCATAACAACAAATCACTACATACCCAAGATTATTCTATGTGCTGGTGTTACAAGCCCTCTGGGGAAGGGACTGGGACTGCTTTCTATTACCTATTTTACTTAAGAAAAGTTCAACAAGGGATTATTACTTCTATTTATCACTCAGAGGAAAATCAGCTTCAGCTTATTTCCTTGATTTGGCTGCTAGATGACACAAAAAAAGTCACAGTCTTTTATTCACATTTGAACTGAGATTAAAAAAAAAAGGCTAAAGCATGAAGACTTAGCAGAAAACTAGGAGACGGGGCTTTATAATACAGTGGGAACCTGGCATATTTAACCATGTGAAAATAAGAAAGATTAAGTAAATTCTGTTGCAGAAATACATTTATTTCTTTTTCTCACCGGCTTAAAAAAAATTCTTCAAATTTCTTCAAATTCATGGAAAACACATCTCAAAATCTCTAGCGACCATACTCTGTCTTCCTAAAAAGCTATGTCTTATTGGTTGAGAAAACATTATCAACTTGCAAAATAGAACAAAAGAGAACTTTCATAACTGCACTAGTTCTGCTTATCCCATAAAGTAACCAAGAGTTTACTTTCTGGGCAACACCAACTGGAGACCGTGCAGATCTTAGGCTAAAAATTGCAACCAGAACCTCAGTGTATTTATCACAGTCCCTTAATTGTGACAGAGGTCAGACTATGCTCTGCACCATTTGTCTTTATTGGAAGTTCTGCAGAAGTTAGGTCATAAGACATTTCTGGATTGTTTTCTGCATACCTTGGATGTTGTAGACAGCCAATTGTATTTATCCAGGTAGTTATGCTATAAAAGACCATTATGGCCCTGTTCCCAGTTTGAACTCTCAGCAGCTTCTGTCTTTCTTAGCCTTTAGGTAAGATAATTTTTTTCCAAGAGACTTATAAGTGCTTGTATTTGACTTCACCCCAATCCTTGAAACAGGACTACTTGCTGAAGTAGATTTCCTTGAAAAACATCTCAGGGTTTTCCCATGGCAAGGCTCTTACATAATACAGAGGAAAGAAAGCAAACACACTGTTCAGGCCTTGATCTCCTACTTACATGAATAATTAATTTCACATGCAAAAATATTTCCATTGATTTAGGACTCTTCATAGGTGGAATATGCAGTTCGTATGTATTTGTAGAACTGGGGGTCAAACACCGTATACAACTGGACATTTGGTATTATTATTGGGGAAGTAAAGGCCTGGATATTTAAGTATTAAAAGAAAAAGAAATTTTTATGGTTTATAGTGGGGAAGCCTTTTCTAGGCTCAAGAAGAGTCACAATGTAATGATTTTCTGGCTATTGGCACAGAGGCTTTAGGCTTTGCCAGGTCACCTCTTCAACAATATTGACTAATCCAAAACGTTTTGAAATTTCCCATTCTCTAAATTACTCCAGTCTAAACAGATCAGTGATTAACTTTAAAACTGCTTTCCAAATGGCACAATTCTCCAGCTCTTTAGTTAGGCTTTCTCTTTGCAAAGGAATTCTTATTTGCTTTTATTGCAGTGTTTCATAGTTTTTGGTCTAGATGTGAATGCTGTTTAAGCATTTAAAAATTAACCTGCTGTTTCGAATAAGTGGAGTAAAAGTTCTGGAAACCCTCCGTTCCTTTGTCTGACTCCAATAAACATCATAGAGCAAAATATTTTTTAAAATTCCAAGTAGATCAGTTTGGAACAGCTATTGGTATGCTGGCAAAAACTTTCCTTAAATATGTGCACTTAATAAAACTTTCATATTTGGAACAATTAAAATTCTATTATACCAGAGTTCTGAGTAGGCAGCCATGTCTTATTTCTATCTCTGTAGGAATAAAACAATTCATAACTTCAATGCCCACTTCTCACTGCAGAGAACTGTTTAATGCTGTCAACAACACCAGGTTCCCCTCCAGCATCTGCATTATTGGCCAACGCATATAAACAAAGTAGCTCAGGTCATGCTTCCTGCTTATTCAAAATAAGGATACCAGCCACGAATTCTTTTACCCTACTTGTACTGAGCTCCATAATTTAAAATAAAAAGAATCCTTTTTCCCAACATTTCTTGCAATTCTTATGCCAGGAGAACACATTAATGTATAACTGTGACATAAAGCAGTACTCCCTTATCAAGTAATATTTGAGGTGAAAAAGGATGAATCTACTGAACATAGGCTAACATTATAAGTATACGAAAAACATTACTAAGCTAATGCAAATTTAGGTACCGGCTTCTTTCTCTTCTTTCTTCCATCTGTACTAGCAGCAGTTTGAGGAATAAATTAATAATTTTTTTGCATTGTTTGAAATATCAGGATTCTTTCACAGAGAGTTTTGTCTAAATCCCAGTCAGGTTCATTGAAAGCCACACCAATAGCCCCTTATTACCAACTTCCTAATATTTACCAGAATTTCCAAGCAAATTTACCCCCAAACCACCTTTCATTTTAGAACACTAATCTCTGTAAAAGAAGAAATAGTAACAAAAGGTTTTCAACCTTCCTTAAGAAGAATACTCACTAATCCTCTATCATTTTTAGCTACTGTAAGGTAAATGCTTTAGTTCCTAGATAAAGAGAATTACAGAGATTAAACAGCAACGTCAAAATCCACATGTGAATCGCTACAGAAAAGTTCAAATAAAAAAAATAATTCCATTCTTCATGTCACTTATCAGTGGAAAGCTGATAAGCTGTGAATGTTCAAAAGTATCTGTGATTTCTGGTGAGCAGCACAATCCATTCATATGCTATTTTCCTGCCAACGGCATCAGATCACAGAAACAGAAATGTTTCAGAAAAGAACCTCTGCAAGTCTCAAAATCCCACTGAGAGAGAAACAATTGTCCATATTAGATCAGGCATGGCATAGTTTTTTCTACCCAAGGCTGGAAAACCTCCAAGAATGGAAACTCCATCAGCTCTCTGGCTGACGTAGGCCTGTTTCTCCGACCTCTCAAACTGAACTCTGTGCCATTGTCTCATATCATCTGCCACTACTACAAAGACATAAGATCCACACTTCTATAACTGCCATTCAAGTACTTGTAGGCTGCTGCCAGACTATCCCTTCACTCCCCTTTTCCACGCTGAATAAGCCAGCTGTACTAACCCCTGTGCAAAGGCCCTCTGTTCAAAATCCCTGCCCACTGAAGAAGGTCTGCTTCAAACTCTTGCCATTTCTCAACATCCACATGAAAGCAGGGTTTAAAACAGGTTGCTGCATTCCAGATATAGTCTCACCAGAGCCATGCAGAGGGTTATAATAAATTCCTCCAATTGTTTGACCACACCTTCCTAATGTGTACCATAGCTCATTATCCACTTCTCCTTATTCATAATGGCAGTGCACTTTTATTACAGTAGTTTTTCAGAAAATCCTCTGGTGTCCCTGTGGAAAAGAAACTGATAATGAGTCAGTAGTTTGCATGTGCAGAGAAGAAAGACAGCCAGATTTTGGGCTGTATTTAAAGAGTTTAGCCAACAGTCAAGGGAAGCGGTATTCCCTCTTTCCAGCTCTGTGAGGCCACATGTTTTGTATCCTGTTTTGGGTTCACTCCAGTACAAGAAAGATATGCAGCTTTGGGATTGCTCCAGCAGGAGAGTGACCAACGTAGTTGGTAGGCCGAAGCACAGGATGTTCAAAGAGAAACTGAGGGAGTTGGGTTTGGTCAGTATGAAGAAAGAGGCTGTGGGAGATACTACTGCTACATAGAGTGTACTGGGAGAGTGTAGACAGAATAGGGCCACTCTTGCCTGAGGTGCAGGAAGGACAACACAGAAAATTCCAGCTCAATATAATAAGCTCAATTTAATTGGAATAGAGAAACACTATATCAAGTTGAGGTGTAGAGAGATTCAAAATACAGTAAGACAAGGCCCTAAGCAACCTGATCTTAAAATGCCAGAAGATTCAACTAGTCAACCTCCAGAGACTTCTTCAACCTATGTGAATCAGTAACTATTTGTCCCTCACTGTATTCCCAAGGTCTCCTGCAGCAAGGCTACTACTCAGCCAGCCTGTTCCCAGTCTTCCACATGCATATATTTGTTCTTCTTGTTGAAATTCATGCTGGCCCAATCCTCAAGTTTCTTAAGGTCAGTCTGAATATAAACTGTGTCCTTTGCGGTATCAGCGGCTCCTTCTTAACTTAATGATGCCTGTAAATTTGCTGAACAGTGCTTTCTGCTTTATTATACAGGTCGTGGACAAAAACACTGAGGAGCATCAGCTCCATTATCAACCTTGGAATACTTTGCTTTTTACTGACCGCTACCTGAGCATAGGACCATTTCAACTTGTCCAATGGTCTGATCACCCAGGCCATCCTTTCTCGGCTTCCAGATGAGAAGTCTGGGGTCAGAAACCCTACTAAAGGCATATCCACCCTTTTCCCCTCATTCTGATAATCAGTCATTTCACTACAGAAAGCAACCAGGATGTCTGTTTCTGATTACCTCCTTGTCCTGTTTGAGTTTAGAAATGAGTTCCAAGAGAGGATCATGCACCATAATCTTTGCAGGGACTGAGGTAAGCCAGCAGCTGATTGCATTCCAGATCCTATTTTTTGCCATTCTTGAACATGACTGTATTGTTTGCTTTTTCCATTCATCACGATTTTTCACAGATAATACACAGTGGTCTTGGAATCACAGCAGCCAAGAAGGCAACTACAGCAGCCAACTTTTCCAGCACCTTTAGGTCATTCCCAGGAATATGAATATGTCCAGATGAAACAGTTTCTAGCTTGTTCACACAGCACTGGCTCCTTCCTGAACTGTTCTGATACTTGTAGAAATCAGGGAGAAGGTTCTGTCTGTGATAAGAAAGGTGGAGAAGGCCCTGAGTACTTCAGGTTTTTCCATATAACCCACACTGTGTTGTCTCTTATACACCAACAGCCCCAAATCTCTCCTTTACAATTTGTCCTTCTTGCTCAATATAATGAAGCTATTTTAAGCTTTAAGGTTTTGACTTCCCTGATTTTGTGCCTACACACCTTAGTGATCCTTTTATATTCTTCCTTTCTTGCCTGTTTCTGTTTCAAACACCTTCACTGTTTGTATTTCAGGTTATCAAGAAGCACCCTTTCAGGCAAGCTGGTTTTGTTTTGAAACTTGTTGTTTTCCCACATAAAAGGATACCTTGTTCATGATCCATCAATGAGTTGACTTTGAAGGAGTCACCCAGCTCTGTTGGATGTTCTGCTGCTGCATGGCTGCTTCACAAAGAGGACTTTGCTTATAAATTCCTTAAGTAACCAGGTCTGTTCTCTGCAAGTCTAGAGCCCTAGTTCTGCAGTCTTATTTCCAGACTTCCTCCAAATCCTGAGCTTCATTGCCTTGTGCTCCCTGCAGCTTAAGATGCCACCAGTGACTGTGTTTGTCAGTCCTTCTCAGTCTGTGGACAGTAAGTCCTACAGAGCAACACCCCGACAGCCTCTCAGCATTTGCATTGGAAATGTGTCACCCACGCAGTGCAACCTTGGGCTGGCTGCATGGAGCCACAGTGACCTCATAGCAGTTGTCTGGACAGCTGAGACCACCCATAAATACAAGTGCCTGCAGGTGGAAGGCTTCCACTGGTTGTTTGGAGAAGGCTTCTTCCCCTGTTTTCTATCAATCAGGTCTGTGGCAGACTTCCAAGATGTCCTCAGTTTTACTTTCCTCTCCAAAGCTGATGCAGAAGCTTTCAATTTAGCATACCTCTACTTTTGCCCTATAGAGCCCTGTGAACATAAAAGATAATCTGCTCCTTATTTTCCTTGGATATCATTCCTCAATGGACTGTTTGCTCCATGGATTTCCTTCCCAGCCTATTCCCTGTCTGATGCAAACAGACCCTGTTGAGATTGGCCCCACCTTTTGTCTCCACAAACCTTGATCTCCTGCTTCATCAAGAGAGGTCACTAAAGGCACCAAGGGCAGTGAAACATTCTAGCTATTTAAATGAAGACATATAAAGGTAGGAATAAGTGAATAGCTTATTCTCAGGAGCAAATGGGATTTTTAAATTGTACTAAAATACCTAATATTTGCATATAGTTGCATATCAACATAAATTGCAGAGGTAAATAAAAAGCATTCATCTTGGAATCTTAAACTCAATTTTGTGTTCTTCATTCTTGGATCCATAATCTGACTATAGGGCTTCTGTTCTTTGTGCTAAGTTTTTAGATTCATGTAAGAAACAGCTGAAATGTCATACCAAAATCTTAAACCTTTTTTTCTACTGAATTCTACTAGTTCAGGCTGCAGAAAGATCAACTTTATTTATCTTTATTTTAGCTGTTGTGGCTCTTTTAACTGCCAGATTATCTGCATTTGCAATGAACATTATTCACAACAATACTAAGCATTTGTGTGAGCATCCATATTTGAATTCTCTTTCAGTCAGTGAGTAGCTTTATTTGCAGCAACTAACATAATTTTACTTTCCGTTTGTTTGAAAATATTTTTCTTTTCCTCTAGCAATTATATTGTGCACTACAACAAACTCTACAGTAAATTGTAAGTTATATTAAAATGCTCTGGCTTCCTAAATGTAATGTAAAACATTTGGACTTAATTTTCTTCCAGGTATATTAAGTTTTTATGACTTCTTTTTGAAAGATTGCGTTTTGCTTCATTATTAATATTTGTTTCTGCTCTGGCACATTACCCATTTACCAATAAATTTATTATAAAATGGATTTTGGAATTCTTTTATTTTGTATTATGTGCCAGCCAACCCTATAGAAAATATTTTTAGATTTACAATGTCACTATTTTAGACAAAACAAAAATACTTGTGGAAAACTAAATTAGAATTTCCATCACATGAAAAAAACCCCACATTTAGTTTCTCATAAAGTTTAAGGTTTTTAAGAGGTGGCTGAAGGCAGCTTCTGTTAGAAGCATTGGCACTTACCATCACTGTGACCCTCATCACACATCTGTAACACTCAGTTTTATTTGAAACTCTTGACCACATGGGGTTTACAGTCAGCCTCCAGCTTCTGGAGTTAAGGTTGTTGTTAGAATTAATAGTGTTAGAAAGCTTTCTTCTCCAAGGCCAAAAATAGTTTCTGGTGATCTGCTTCTAAACAGAATTCTGCACCTGCATCTGCCACCAGCACTCCTTGCAACTGTATTTTCTGGAAAATAAACTTTTTTTCTGCCTGCTTGCAGTGCATCCTTTTTATGATAATGATCATAACTTCTATGGTGTAAGAATGCACCTGGTGCATAAAACAGAGCTTACTGATCCCCAGTCAGGCAGGAGTTTGACAGAATAAATACAACTCTCCTTTGTTTCAGACCCATGTTGATTACAAGGCCCAAATTGTAAAACTTCAGAAAACTGTATCGATGGATAAATTTAAGCCATATCAAATTAGATATTTTCCAGCTCCTGACCCTGAATCTTTTGTTAAAACTTGTGCTCTCCAAACCAAATTATTTTTAGCTTCAAAACTCTTGGCTAATTTATTTTCATTTTGTATGTCTTTGTGCTTCCAGTTTCTGGCAACTTCTACAAGTAAGAATGCCAAAGTCCTCCATTCAAATTGTATCCTCAGCCAAGGGAAAGGGGGAAAACACTCAAAATCATGCAAGACAGTCTTTTCTCATGAGTTTTCTGTTCTCATGAACTTTGTAGGCCAATTTTGGATATACACAAGTTCATAACATAAGAGACATCAGATAAGGAATCAAACTTTTGTGATTCACCCATTTGTCACTAATTCCTCTTCCAGAAATACACTGTATTCCTCTTGCAGAAATACAGAATACTGGATGAGAGCCCATGTCCTGGATCCAGTATTCCTAACAGTTGCACCAATATAATGCAATTCAGAATAAGAAAAACCTTGTCAGCAACCACCTTTTTCAGCCTGACACAACCTCGTACAGTTTCAGGAAGGCATTTTAATTTCTGCCCTCTTGGAGATAAATTCCTGGCATCTGAGTGGGTGAACCTATGGTTCACAAGGTTCTGGGGAAATCACCAGGAGCAACAGGTCTGCCCTTTGCTGGTCCTTCAGTCAACTTCTCGTGTGCCTGGTAATGCATTCCTAGGGATGAACTTTCTGCTGAAACATACATTTCCTCAGCAAAATGCAGTTAGGAAAGGTTACTCCTTCCCTTGATTATTTCAGCTTTATGCTGAATGCTCAGTGGGACATATCCAGGCCTTGCTGACTCTGAAAGGCTTGCAACCCAGCCACCACTTTGAGGTGCATCTGTCTGCACTTACAGGGAGGGTGCCAAAAATAGCAAAGGTTTAGATCTCTGCAGCCAAGATTTCTGAAAATGCAGCCCAAAAAGCAGTAAAACTTTGACATCAAAATGAGTCAAATCCAACAGATGAATGATTACAATACAAGGTTAGAAAACAAAGCTGCCCTTTGGCATGCAGATCGTTTTCACCAGCCTTCTCTCAGGCCAACAGCTTTCTCCTGATGCTCTAAGCTGCAACAAACACCGGGCAGTCTCTGCATGGGGTCCACTGGGAAGGTCTTCTTCCCACCACCTTATAGACAAGTGTTCCCTAAATCTCTCAGAAGACTTCCAACATGTAAACACTACAGACTCCCTCCAGATGACTCCCTCATGCTCCATACTGACCATTCCATCTTCTGCTCCAGATGCTTAGATAGTCCAAGAGAAACCTCCCAGGAGCTACAGCTATCTCAGAGAGCAGCATCCAGGACAAGTCAGCCAGGGGCCTTCTCCTGCTGCCCAGCCAGTAATAAGGTAGTAGGCACATCAAATAAATGTATGAATGTTCCTATGTCTCTTCCATCAGTTTTTCTTATTTTATCTTCAGAGATTACAACTCTGTTGACTGAAAAAAAAAAAAAGAAACAAAACCAACCAAAAAAAAAAAAAGAAAGAAAAAACCAAAAGAAACCCCAAACAAACAAACAAAAACCTCCCAAAAATTTCCTCTCTCCCCAGACTTTAACTGTGAATATTTTCTCTTTACTTGCCCTTGTGGTATATGTCCACAGATACTCCTCTGACTTTTCTAAACTCAGGTGAGAAGCTCAAAGTCATTTCAACAATCATACATTTCTTCTCTGATATGACACTAATGTGTAAGAGTTTTGTTTCATCGTATCCTGACATACATACATCCTGAAATACATAAAAGTTTTAATTTCTGCTGTTTCTGATAACAAATCCTTTTCCTTGCAATTATCTCTTTCAATTTACTCAACATTTCTAATACTGTCTCTGGTCATAAATCTAAAGTCAGTGTGGGCTTATAAAATGGACCTATTCATGTCTGGGGATTCAGAAGATTATTTCTCTAAAATTCCATGACCAATTCAAAATGCTGCTTATAAACATGTATACAGGCCAACCTTCACTCACAATGGTGCTCCTTTACTGCCTATTTGCCACTAACTGCTTAAAAGGGTAATCTGGCAGATAACACATAGTCAAGTAAACTTCCAGTGTCTCTGACTTGTCTGTCTCAGGTAGCATCCTTCCTCTTCTGTGTCTCAGCTTTATGGACAGGAGCTGTGTAGGCCATGGTACTATGCAGTAACAAGTTCTTGAGAGTTGCTTTACAATTCACTCTAAAGTCTGGGCTGGAGAACAGCTTATTACCACTACAAAATTGTATTTAGACTTCACTGATTGCACAGTCCGTTCTGAACCCCTTTAAGTTCCCAGGAATGATGACCATCCGTGCCATTAAAAGTTTTATGAGTAATATGTCAGTGGAAGTTAAGGACCCTCCAATTCATAATGTGATAATCTCATTCATCCTTCATGTCTCAGGGGTCATTTATCTTTTGCATAGCAGTTCGTGAGAGAGCAGCTCATTACATCTCCATGAGAGAGACTTTGAGCACATCCCTTGCTTTTTTGGCAAAGGATTTATAAACTTAGGACACGATTCATGTAAAATGTGTTCATAATTAAATGAATGGTCCACGTTGCCCAGTCAGGCACCTCCTAAATTTAGAAACATCTAAAGTACTGATACCCTTCTGGTTATCCTGAATGTTCTGTAAGCAGATGAAGCACATACTTGAGAAATGCTGGATTCAGCGTCAGATCTTCTGCAAGGAGCTGGAATTTCTGGTGGTTTGTAAACTGAAATGATCATCTATGCTCCATTGTTGAAGAAAACAGAAAAATCCCCTTCTAACAAAGAAATTAGGATCTGAAAAGTACATGACTAAAAAAAATCCTTTTCATATGGTTCAGATGATAGAAATTTAGTGGAAATATTTTGTCCAGTTAAAGGTGCTGCAGTTTGGTAAAACTGGGGATCACCTAGGGAGAGTCCAAATGAGAGCAAAGAGAAAGTATAGAAAAGGATACCTAGGCGGGAAAAAATTAAAGACACCAGAAAAATTATTAAAGTGCAAAACAGAAATAAGGCCCTAATGATCCTTTTGTAGGGAGGATTTCTGTTCATTTGCTCTGTTTTACCAATAAAATGGCCACCCAATGGAGACAGCATATTTTAAAGCATTTCCACAACTGACTGAGCTTCTAAATATTTTAGAACAAATTATAGGATGTAGGAATTTAGCTTTCTTCCTTACTTTGTACTATCCTTAGTAATGGATCTAGTAATAGCTAGCAATCCTACTAACAGCTGACTTCAAAAAGGACACTACTTTTCAGATTCTACCCTGGATTCAAGGATGACCTCAACAATTTATCTTCCACTGATGTTCTTTTCTTGTAAATAAAATTCCACCAGCTGCTACATTT